GATTTTTAGTCAAAAAAAAATTGTGTGAAAATCTTTAAATTTCTTGTAAAAACGACCTGCTCTACCACATTAATCTAATGAGTCGATGACATCCCTTAATATGGAAAATAAAACGCAACTTATTTGAGTTAGAATTTAAAAAATATGCGAATATTTTATGTCATCTTACAAGCAATGTTGTATATATCCTGTGAAAATTTTAAGTTGAAATCTCAAACAAAACAAAAAAATGAGAGCACTCTGTGAGAAACTTTCTGATCGGGCCTCGTAGTCAAACTATTATTTACGTTTCTACAACACCAAAACCGACTAACTATTATTATCCGACGTATCTATGATCAATTTAACATTTATATCATTTTTGACTTCCGGTATGCAGTGTTTGATGGTTTGATGAATACAACTTTTATTGGACTATAAACTTGAAATATAGAGTATTTTAACCTTCTATATCGTTTACAACTGTATGTTATGCATGGAAATTATGGATGTCAACTCAGAAAATCTGAATACACATTCATCGACATCGTGAGATATCACAGCCTTCTCTTGTGCATAGCAGAGATGGTATGAGTATCAGAATGATTCATCGATTGTCATGCACAAATTAATTGCTGATTTTTAATTGGAATGTAATCTGTAAGACTATATGAACTAAGAATTTTAGTTCTTTACAAAGAAGATATGGTAATTTTTGTGAAGCCTCATTGAACCATACAGTAGTCAACCTAGCCATTACGCAGCCTAAACTATTCATTACGTCATCTACCTGTGGTTTTGTTCCAACTCATTGAACTATACAGTAGTAAAACTAGCCATTACGCAGCCTTAAACTAATCATTACGTCATCTAGCTGTGGTATAATTCCAACTCATTGAACCATACAGTTGTCAACGTAGCTATTACGCAGCCTTAAAATATTCATTACGTCATCTACAGGTACCTGTGGTATAATTCCAACTCATTGAACCATACAGTAGTCAACCTAGCCATTACGCAGCCTTAAACTTTTCATTACGTCATCTATCTGTGGTATAATTCGAAATGTTAAGCCATATGTGGGTAATTTTATGATAACATACGCAATTACTGATGTGCTATTATAGAATCTGCGATGTCAGTGCTGATATCAGAATCATTAAGCTTACAAAACATCATTAACCTTGATAACAATGCAACAATTGAACACAAGGTTATTAAGTATTGCCTACTTTCTTGAATATTTAGACAAAAAAAGGAGGTCTTGAATTTGATGGCTTACGCGAACTTCCACTTCTCAACTAATCATTGATAAATAACCATGGTTACGCTGATATTTTTTCAAGTATGTAGTATTGTACTCAATGTGTTTGTTACTTGCTACCCGTAGCGTGTTATATGATATTCCTTACTTATCGTATGAAATATATAATTTTTTTACTAAATATATTCGATTTGTCATATACATGTAGACTCCGAAGCTCTAGTCGGGGGGGGGGGCTGAAAACGCCCACATGGATTTCAATAAGATTTTCGCGGGATATGCAGACATCAAAGGATAGGTATCGATATGGTGAACTGAATTCAACCAATTCTTGAGATTGAAATGTCTTTCCGAACCTTGTTGGAACAAAATAGCATATTCAACATTTTCTTAGATCTCTCAATATTATAGTTATACAAAGGACATTTTGGTTGGTTTTACAAAGTATGCAAAAACGTAGTAAGACAAAAAGCCCCAAAATAGATGAAAATTAAGATAAACCTTTTATTTCATTAATTAGATACTTTTTTAAAATCAACCAAACGTTCCTTTGTACAATTACAATATTGAGAGACCTAAACACGTTGTGTTTATGTCGTTTTGTCCGAATGAGGTTCGGATAGATGTTTCATTTCATTCCGAACATATGACACCAAGAACGAAAGAAGTGTTTGATGTGTTTTCTAAAACAATATAGAGAAAAGTATATATATATTTCAAATTATAATGTTACCATCCAAAAGATGACCATTAGATTGACGATGTGTAAAATTTTCAGAATGTTTTGATGACTGGTTTAAGAGTAACACGTGTTCAAAAAGTTCACCATATCGATACCACTCATTTGCAAATGTTCTAGAAATTGGACAGAGACATTTTAAAGGATTTTTGAATGATAAAGGTAAACAGACACTAGCGGTCTGTTTAAAGAGCTACATCTCATATTTCAGGCTGATATTCGATACAATAATTTTACAATGATAATACTTTTGTTTGTTTTTTGACAAACCCTGTACATATATAGACATAGCATTCAAAAACGAAAAGCTCTGCAAAAACACTTGAAATCCAGATTGTCTCTCTATAATTGAACATTTCTGCAATAAAAATAAGTCCTTGTTATTTCAAATATAACATTTGGTAAAGCATTGTGGCCATTTTGAATTTAGTGACCTTATTGAAAAAAAACCTCCCATTGAGCTTACATATTTTCATTCTGTGGGATAATAAATATGGATTTGAATTTCCCCGAAAATTAAAAATCAATTTTTTGATTCTGCATACATTATGACACAATTCAATTTCAATGACTATTAAGATTATCATTATTGTCAGTATTGTAACTTTACCTTAGTTTTCGTGTGCGGGCGAATGTTTCATTCGTCTTTGCATTTCAAGTATATAAGTACATGTACACTTCTAACATATTTTTAGACAAGATATCTAAGCAATTTGTTCGGTACCATTAATGCGTTGTCCTATCCGGGCAGATAAGAATTGACCAATTATTAGGATTAATATCAGGCTTCCTAGAATCCCACCGACACGAACATCAGTTCTGACCTCGCGAACTATGTTCCTTGCACTCGAACCACGATTCTCACATCGCGAACGTCGAAGGGTGAAGGTTCCAATTTAAAATCCCATTTAGAACTATTATAACGCTGATAATCTCAAGATTTGTTCATGGGCACAGCTCCAGCTCAGCGTTCCAATGATACGGTGACCGCAATGGTTTTGAGATAAATGAATCTGGAGAAATCTACCACCGCAAAGCTACCTGTTTCAGAAAATTATTTTGCTCTACATACATCTACACCTACATCTATCATTTTACTAATTAAAGCTCTTTATAGAGCAACACAATTAGTTACTGACACTGTACTCTCGAAAATTACTCCGCCATCTCTGAAAATTCTGTTTCTAACTTTGAAGGTGTTTCCTGAAAAATTAATACTTACCCTATCGGCAACAATAGACCTCGATTCATTTATCAACATTAAATAGCGCTGCGACGTGCCAGAAAAGGAGAAAAAACTTTTTTTTATACAGGAAACCAAATAACCAACCTCTAGTATCCCTACTCCGAACTATAATCTAATAGCGACACGGTTGAACGATTTGGTGCCACAAAGTTTTTCTTAGATATTATAATGTTTTCAGATTTTTGTGCAGTTGAAGCCCAATCAACCTAATTGCTTTTACAGTTAACCCCGGGGTCGTTTATTTTAGGGCCATGCAATTTCATACTTTATTGACCATTTTTGCAAAAGAAATACTGTTACTTGCATTGGCTCAACAATTAGTTATGCGTAGTAATGCGAATAACATGTAACGGACGTTTTTTTCGACCAGGTGTGTGGTTCGCGAGCACGGGTCTCTGTTCACGAGTGTAGAAATATGTTCGGGAGCGATAAAGTGGTGATCCGCGACTAAAGATTTCACTTTCGCGATGTGAGAATTGTGGTGTGAGTGCAAGGAACGTAGTTCGCGAGGTCAGAACTGATGTTCGCGTTGGTGGAGGTTCAGGAGGCCTGAGTAATCAATCATGAAGTGTAGAGGTGTAGATGCTAAATCAGCTAAACATTTTGTGTCCGTCAAAATTCATTTGCGTCCTACGATAAGTGCACTGGTGATCCGCTCGATTACGCTGGTTTCGGTAACAAAATGTCGGAACGTCGAAGGTACGATTTTTCTTTTTTCCTTATTTCACGCGTTGTAGGCAGAATCCCCATTACATTTTTCTCACAAACGTATATCAGTATCATATGTTTTGGAAAATGTACATGCTTTCGAAAAAATAGCTCAGAAGACAACAGAATCATCGATTTAACTCCTCACTTAAGTTACAGAAACGTTTCTTCATTGATTTTTGAAATACCGTTTCTGTAACGTACGTGAGGAATTAAATCGACGATACTGTTGTCTTCTGAACTATTTGTTCGCAAATGTGTACATTTTCTTAAACATATGTTACTGATATGTGAAATAAATGGTGACTGAAGTGAGTTTACAAAAAATTGCTCGCATAGTTTTATCTTTAGAAAGTTAGCGGGCGCGGGCCTTTCAAAACTTATATTGGCCCGCTGTCTTTAGAACAGTTTACACCGTACATCATCATATGTATAATAACACACTGTAATATAGAGTAGCAAACAATAATCTGAACAATGCATTGATTTCCCAATACTATAACGTTTCGATATCAAGTTAGTAAATGAATAATTGTAACTCCTTGAGAGTATGAAACTTTGTTTTAACTTTGGAAAATATTGATCATTTCTATTACTGTGAAAAGTTGAAATTTTAACAAAAATGCAATCCATCTGTAGTGACACTTTTTGGATTTGACAGTAGTTTTACATTCAATCTAGATCTTATGTTGCCTGGCGTGAAACAATTTGGTAACAATGTTCTAGCTATGTCTTGAAGACTAGTACTGCTAGGGGAGTTTGAATATTATATAATATCACCACAATACTCGCAATGTCCTCTTCCAATGAAATACTCCAAAGATGAACCTTATAGAAATATTATTCCTTAATTGTTCCACGCCAGGAAACGGAAAATCGCGTTAGAGTTATGGGTTTCAGCCCTCCTTGATTATTTGTTCAACTGGAATTATTGACATTAAAAACAGTCTATCAAGTGATTCAAATGTTGTCAATTGGAAAATGATGTCGTCAAAAGCTGTTAATACCATACAATAGCTGAACGTCAGCCAGCATTTATCTTTTCATCTTAATGTACTTAATACATCATAGTCCATCAGTTTGAGGAGGCATTCTCATACTGAAGCACCCATGGCTTATTCGCTTATGATGGAAGTTCCAAGAATCACGCTCATTGTTGCTGTTCTTTGGACGTCACCGTTGACAGTTTCAAGTCAAACGTGGACGATCGGTGAGTTTATAGAATGCATAATAAAATACAGATCAGCTACGATGGCTCATTTTATTTTGTTAAATGAAAATTTCTGAAAATTGTAATAGCAAAATCGAAAATCAGGGGTATAAGGTGTTCACTTGATGTTGGAGGTTCGGCCATATTAAAACGGCTATATAAATGAAACGCTGGGGAGAAATAATTGCTGAAATTCATGGATATGCGGAGTGCAGAACATGATGCTTGTTTTCATGTTTTATATTCATTTAGGTCCAGGGGTGACATGTCAACCAACGTGTCAATCTATTATCCCTACTTATCAGTGCCGTCAGATCTTAACTCCCATCACACAGGACGGTGTGTGTCTTCCGGTCGAGGATTCACGAGGTTGTTGCGCTGGCTGCGTTACAGGTAAGTTTATGGGCCATCCATGTCATTAGCAAACATATCAGTAGTCTTGGGTAGATCTACGAAATTATCATTTGTCAAAAATATAATCAACACCCCACAAATAGTAAACCTAAGATATACGTATTATTTTATCTTTAAGATACTTCTTTAAAGTCCGTACTTCTTTGAGATCCGTACCATTTAGTGTACCTATAAGAACTTAGAAAATTGTTGAAAAGGATAAAATCAACAAGCAATTTAAAGTATATTTTCAACAAATCACAAAAACAATATAAAAATGAGGTAAAGGGGTGTTTTCAACGGTGATTTTTTGCACATGTCATGTTGACTCTTACGAATATTTTTCACATATTTTCACAAACCCTTGATTGAAATCTTGAGTTTTATGGATAGGCTGGGTTTTAACTGCCCGCTGTGCAATTTATTATACATTATATTTAATACGTTTTCCCCCTAATAAGGTATCACATAAAAGAACAATAAGATCCCTCATCGGTGCGACTTACATGTATATGCTCACACGTTTTCAACAAAAAAAGCTCAAATTGTTGAATGGTCAGCATACTTATAATGGTCATGAGCGAAGACTCATGATTTGCATAGCCAAACTAAATGTACTGAATGACCTTAGTTTTAATCCCAAATGACCTAATTTCATTTTGGATGTGTTGCATAATTGATAAACGTAACTTTTTCGATGTTATTTTCAATAAATCCTTTTGGGGCACCTTCAGGTACTTTTGGCAACGGATCCTTTTATTACTACGAACTCCAAAGACATACGTACATTGTGTATGCCATGTTTCTCCAATAGGGTGAATAGATGTTTCTTTCAAATTAAACATATGGTATCATTAGTTGGAACTCTTCGAACCTCCGTCTGTATGTTTTAATGTTTAATTCATTTTAGATAACACACAACAATACTTTAAATTTTAGCACACTTTTAGCAAGTGCATATTGGAACTGTTTATATGTGTATTTCTCACACACAGGTTCGATTGACGCATCATCCAGTGTCACCACTAGACATGCGTCTGCAATTGATACTATACGCGGAACTATGGTATTTGATACTACCGAACAAGCCCTTATCGATCGTATACTTAGTACCATAGGGAATATCTGGAACGTTGCAAACATGGACAATATACTAAATCTTGTTCCGGATATTTGTGCTTGGGGCCAAGATTTTGTGACATTATTCGGGGATGTTAAGGCCGACGTAGAACGTGTCTTACGTTCAGTTGATGATCGAGGTGGGGTACTTGGACAACAAGAAAGAGAGGCATTACAGTATCTAATAGATTTGATCGATTGGTTTACACAATGCCTCCTTCCAAGAAGTAAGTTACTGTTTAACCATATCGTCCGACTTTCCTCCATAATTCAAAACCAATGCTACAAAGTTCACTCTCCATTATGATTTCCTCATGACGAAAAGTAATTCACCTGATTTTCAAAATGGATATATGTAGTGCTTCTTTTATTGCATTTCTGTATACCAATATCTTGTTGACCTAGCTATATTCAGTACTGTATTCATGCATTGGCCACTTATTAAAGTAACACACAGGTGATATATCTATGATCTAACACCTCAAAAGTAATAGATATGACTATATATGTTGTATAAAAATAGATAAAAAATATTGTGGCCGAGAGATAAATAAAAAGAGAAAAATCTTAGGCACTACCGGGATTCGAACCACCAAAAGCTGATGCAGAAGACCAGCGCCTTTATCCATAAGGCCACAGGGCAAGTTAAACAAAGCATGCAATTTTTAAGCTATCTCATGAACTTTAAGCTATTTCATAGAAAAAAGTCGAATCACTGCACAAGATTAATAAAAAAAAATAGTCAATAACCATGCTAATAATATTTAAATACATATTTAGGTAAATATTCTAAGCCAAAATCAGGATTAATGATGTAAATCCAGTTTTCATTTAGATAATCTATTTCCTGTTATGACTGTAAAAAAACATGGCCTCCAAAAAATATTTCTTGCTTCCAATTTTCAAATGATATATATCCATGGATCAGTTATTTTTGGCACCTGGACCCATCCTAATAGAAAGGTAAGACTATTTTCTTGAAAAGTATTCCTTGAAATCCAAAAGGATGATTCTCGGTTTGGAGAACGAAGTTCATCACTCTAATTGAGCGTTATCCCTGCTTCTGACCAATTTGATTTTTTTACATAATATAGATTTGAATGTCTTCTTTTGAATAGTCTTAAATTAATTTGGGTAATATTTCTAGATTTTCCATCAAAAAATTACTAGTGAACCACCCAACGTCGCTTTTATGATTCGTACCACTTTTTTAACTTGATGTATTGCATATTTCCGTGGGTCAATTTGAGAAAAAAGACAAACAAAGCATACAGGGATATGTCATGAGCATATCATGAAAAAATCCTTTCAATATGTTTTTAAGAAACATTCGAAAATAATTCATTCTTAAATCGTGTCCCATTTTCGAGATATTCTCTGACATTTTATACACATTCATCCAATAGAGGGCCTCTCAAAAGAGCGACTTCGGATTTTTGGCATTTTACAAGTCATATATAAAATTGATTAATCATCTATTAATTAGATGTCACCACTTGCTATGAACTATGCTAGTGGTGAATATAAGCTAGTCAATTGCTGTGAGCTGGAGAGGGTGTATTTATATCACTTCTATCCTACCACGTGATTACGTGGTCGATGGGGATTTTCTGCTAATAATACACTGAAAACTGCCTGATGAATCTATACAATATATAGTAGAACACTTGGAATAAACATGTATGTAAAATCTAGTATAAGCTTACATTCAGAAATATGGAAATAAACAAACGCCCTTCCTTTACAGCTTCACTGTAGCCTGTACTCCTTTAAAGGGATACATCAATGAGTTAAAAATAAAAAATCGGTGTGGAGAATGGACGGGGAATCGAAACACAATTCAGCGCGTAGGAGGTGAGGAACTTGCCACAAGATTACGCCTCTTTCTACCTCTCTCTTCCTGATTTAAACCTTAAAATTCGCCCAAGCATCGATCAACGTGGTTATTATAGCTATAAATAACACGTTCATTGTTCAACCAATCTACAATAAGCCGTTGATGAGAGATAGTCTAGAGAGATTAAACAACACTTAGAAACACCTTGGAAAAATGGCGCCCGTATATGATTTTTTGTGTTCTTTTCTGTTTATCAATACAATTTATATTTTGACACGATTGCGATAAAACGTATACCTAGAAATGTATGGCTAATTACCATAAGCGACTGGTAAATGTAAAAGTTGTTTGGTTTATCATATAAGAATCTGTAATAAAACCTCGATTGCCAAAATGAAACCATCGATTATGTTCAGTATGTTGCTATATATAATGAACGTTTCCAGTCTTTTTTCAGTTACCATTAAACAGAGTCATTAGTCATTTTGGATTTGCTAGATTGATGATGGCATGGGTTTTTCTTTTTCAATTTCAGCAATAAGTTAATCCTTTTTTATGGACATATTGCTACCTACAACCTTTGATATCATTAATCTAGCCAATAATCAGGTTCTTTGATGTACTAAATGATGGCAGGATTTATTGGAAAATAAACAACTTTTCATGTCCCCCATGCAGTATCGCTGAGCGTGAATTGATCACTCAAACTACGGATTTTATTTGCACAAATAGCCTTGGATAACTGTGGTAACTAAAGTAACTGGAAAATGTAATAACGTTTTCGAACCTTTAGTGACATGAACAAAGGATTTTTAGCTTTTTCGATATAAGCTTAATTCACAATTTTCAGAAATTCACATCAGTTGATTATGCTTTGCACGCCGCTTAAAAGCGCCATCAAAGCGCCGTTGGTGTGAACTTAGCTTAACAAGTTACTTGGGGGAAGGGGAACAAGGGAGGGGAGTTTGGTAGACATTTCCACCAGAATGATGAAAGTATTCATCGATGTCATATCAAATATTTATGTCATATTGAACATTTATCTCCGCGCTAAAATACCGACGATTGCAAAGGTAGTTTAATCCGGTAGCCGACAGGCGTTTCTTGCATTCGTGAATACAAGCTAGTCCATTTCACTGTTGAATTGCGTCAGTAAAACCTAAAAATTAAGAAATCACAATATCATCATGAAATAATATATGGAAAAATATGTTCCTATTGTACATGAATGACATTTGTATATCTTGGATTGCTTCTAGTTTGGCTTATAAAGTGTGTGGCCTCTTATATATGGATGCTTCTCTGCCATGTTATTTTCAATAAGATTAACATGGCTGAAATTCTTCAAATTACAAGAGGTCACAGTCTTATTGCACAAAAAACGAGAAAATCTGAAATATACAAATGTCATTCATGTACAATATGAATCTACTTTTCCATATATTATTGCACAATGGTCTCCCGATTTCTTATTTTTGGGGTTCTACTGACGCAATAAAACAGTGAAATGGACTCTAACCTTATATTCGCGAATGCAACTAACGCATCTCGGTTACCTGATTAACCCAGTATTCTATGACTAACTCATTTAAATGTGAATGGAATAGTGGCAGGTACTATTCGTATTTACATGGGTCTCCAGTGAAATAGAAGGTAAATCCGGTAGCCGAAAGGCGTTATTTGCATTCGCAAATATAAGCTAAGACTATGATTTGGGAATGAAAGATTTCATCTACCGGATTAACATACTTTTCTATGGGCAACTCATTTAAATATTAAAAGTACCTGCCAATATTCCATTCATATTTTAATGAATTGCCCATAAAATAGTAGGTTAATCCGGCAGCCGACAGGCGTTAGTGGCATTCGCGAATACAAGATCATTTATTTTATAATTTGGGAAATATATATTTTCACAATATTGAAATAGATGGTGGTTCAAAGTGGAATACATATCATACAAAAGTGTCACAGATATGACTAGCAGGCATATACTTTTAGTATATTAGTCCATTTGTCACCCCTATACATCCAATAGTGAACCTGGAATTTGTAAAAGTACGATGTTTTATGGCCGATTTATGATAATAAGGGTTTTCTGAAGTGATTTAACTGGGTTGCCGAAAAAGTTTGTTTGGGGAAAAAATTATATAGGCTGATTAGGGAGGGGTGCAATCGCTTAACATGGCGTTGACTATTGACTTAGCGTTGGGATACCACCATATACCTGGTATGTTACTATGGTAATAGATACCAAAATTTTCCCCAAAGTTATTTTTTGGCAACCCAGCTAAATCACTCCAATAATCCCTAATGATAGTATTTACACAGAAAAACATCATACTTTTAAATATTCATACGTTCAGAAAATGACAAATGGACTATATGGTCTTTCTTTGCATGACTTCGCAGAACATATCAAAACCGTGGGATCCACAGGGTAACAGTAACAGTAAGTACATTTCTAAGTTCATGCTTCAAAGTTGTCAAAGTTGTAAAAGGGTAATCCTTTTATGAGTACGAAAGCGTACTTTTTGTTGAATAGCCTTTCCCAGCTGCTAATCTTGTGAGTGCATCGTGCATTCAACGAATTGTATTCACTTATTAACCAATCAGTGCCAGGAACAAAATGCACGCTGACTTGTTTTATGAAGCATGCTACATACAAATGTTACGCTTTTGCACATTTACTTTGCGAACTATTTATATAATATACCTTATATATGTTATATACTATTTATATAACATACATTACCAATTGACTGCAAGATTTGAGTGAACAAGTACCTCGTATTTTTCATTTTTCGATATTTTGTGATTTGTTGGCTGATGAGTAACTTGATATTTTATGTCTAAATGTATCAAAGTGGTTCATAGTAATAGTTTTATTGTACACCATAAACTGTTAACGTTTTAGAAATAGAACACAATATATGATTTGATAATAGGACAATACATGTAATAATATGTCTAAACTCGGTGGTTTGTTTGTAAGTTTGTTTTTCTAACACCTCAATAACTTACATTCAATGCGTATCTAATCCTCATAATTTACAAATAAATCAGTTATTAAATGCCCGATTTTCGACAGGTAATTGTAATATATGAACCCGCGGTCCCCACTGTTCCTCTTGTAGATATATTATACATGTATAACCTTCTCAGATATATCCTGTATATTAAATACATTAAATAACATATATATGTTAGTCTCAGCCTAGACAGTATACATTAATTTTATTGGATAATGCGTAAAATTCGAATGAACTTGAAATGAAATTCAACATCCAAAATATGTTAATTTGATCATTCACCGTGTAAC